CACTGGCAGGAAGGACTGGGCTGCTATAACTCTTCCTCACACAGGCTGTTACAATGGAAGGGAGTTGCCCTGAATCCCAGCAAGCCTGAGCCGGGCCTCAGCCTGGGTCCTTGGACGTTTCTTTCTGAACTGTGGGTGGGACTCGGGCTGTGGTCGATGGCAAACCTTAGTCAGTGAGCCCATGGCCACGGTCAAGGACAGGCCACCGCCCCACCCAGCCCAGCACGGGTCCCCCTGCCGGGGAGGCCAGGGCCGCTCCCATGCCTCCAGGAAGCTCACGGCAGAGCCAGCACACTTTTATGAATTTTCAAGCAAAATCCACTGTAAGAAATGTATTTTTAAAATTATTACCAATATTTATATGTTCTTACTGTGAGTTTCTCTCTGCCCCTTTGAGAAGTATCTCAATCTTTTACTTTTATTATTTTTATCCGCACCCGAGGACATTTTTGCATTTATCTTCAGATAGAGCGGGAGGGAGAGAGGAAGGAAGAGAGAGGGAAACATCGATGTGAGAGAGACACATGGAATGGTTGCCACCCGCACGACCCCAACTGGGGCTGGGGACAAACTGCAACTGAGGTAAGTGCCCTTAGTGGGAACTGAACCCAGGACTCTCGGGTCTGCAGGCTGACACTCTAACCCCTGAGCCAAACTGGCCAGGGCTGTCTCAGTCTTTGACAAGGTGGGTTTAGGATGAGCTGTCTGTACTTTGGAATTTCTTTCCTGTCTTGGCCACTAGCCTGGTGTACACTGCACTCGGTGTGACACTGATTCAATAACAATTCCTGTGGAGGATATTTTTGGCTGGCAGGAAATTGTTATATTAATTCTATTTCTCAACAGGGCTATTTGCTGCTGGGTGTGGTCACCAACACCCAGGTCACCATGGCAGCATGTTTAAGGCACTAAGTTCAGTGACTGGGGTCCAGGTCCTGCAAACTTGTCCCTGACCTTTGTGCACCATGTCACCCCCCAGTCCTGACTGAGCTTGGAGTCCCCTTTTTGGGCCAGCCCAGGGCAAGGAAGGTAGTCCCTTTGGCCACCTTCCATAGTGGAGTCCTTGGTGCCCGTTCCCTTCCCGGTCGACGAGTGAGTGCTGTCTAGCCCACAGAGTCTTCCCCAGCCAGTGCCCCACCTCCCTGGCCCACCCTCCATCCTTACAAGTGCTGGGCCACCTGCTCAGGAAGGGGAGGCTGCTGGTGGAGGCCCGACCCCCATGGCTTTGAGAGTCGAGTTCTGTATTCTTTCCCAGGAATGTTCTCTCCCTTCTGGGAATATTTTGTGTGTTCCTTCTTGGAAACCTCTCCCTGTGAATAGCTAAGGAGAGAGTGTCTCCTGCCCCAAGTTCTCTTGTTCTTGGGGCTGCTACCAGATGGGCCAAGCCTAGGGTGGGGCCAAGTGCAGTTCTGGGGAAAAAGAAACTGGAGAGAGACCAGGGCGGTGAGCAGTGTCTCCTCCCTAAACACAGCACGCACATGGCGGCCATCACACACCACACACAGAACACGCCCCCACATGCGATGCACCCCATACATGCACACTGCTCCCCGACTCTGTGTGCTTCCTGCCTACGGTGAGAAGCAGCTGGGCCATGGAGAGAAGCTAAGCACCCACTCATCCCACAGAGAAGACAGCGAGGGGCAGGCCCCGGGATGTCTGTCCCCAGCTGTGCAGCAGATCCAGGACGGACAGACGAAAGATCCACATGGACTGAAATCAACCAGTTTTCTTCTCTGTTTTCTTTTTATGCTGTGGAGAAAAGGTCATTTTGCCCAGAGTTGTCGAAAATCACACATTAACAGCCCTGGCCAGTGGTTAGAGCGTCAGCCCGCTGACCAGTGAGTCTCGGGTTCAATTCTGGTCAAGGGCACCTACCTTGGTTGCAGTTTGTCCCCGGCCCTGGTCAGGGTCTTGCGGGAGGCAACCAGTCAGTGTGTCCCTCTCACATTGATGTTTTTCTCTCTCTCCCTTTGTCTCCCTCTCTCTCCCTCTCACTCTATCTGAAGATAAATAGAAAATATATACTCGCATGAGGATTGAAAAAAAAGAAAATTACACATTAACAGCCCTAATGATGTCCAGCAGTTTCAAATGCTGGCTTTGGCCAAGACTTCTCTTTTTATTTTATTTTTTATTGTTGAAAGTATTATGTTTGACCCCATTTTCCCCATTGACACCCTCCTCCTTGCTCCCACCCCCTCCTGCTGCATATATGCACAACCCATGTGTCCATTGGCTATGCACACATGCACATGAGTTCTTTGGTTTATCTCTTCCCACACCTCCCATTGCCCATCCCTCTGAGGTTTGTTAGTTTGTTCCCTACTTCCATGACTCTGGATATATTTTGGTCGACAGCTTATTTTATTCATGATGTTCCATTAATAAGTGAGATCAGCCTGGTTGGTGTGCTCAGTGGTTGAGCGTCGTCCCATGGACTAAGAGGCCCGGGTTGGATTCCCGGTCAGGGCACAGGCCTGAGTTGTGGGCTCCATCCCCAGTAGGGGCGTGCAGGAGGCAGCCGATTCATGCTTGTTGCATGTCTGTTTCTCTCTCTCTCTCAAAATAAAATAAAATAAAATAAAATGCAAAGTCATTATGAGGCCTCCAGTCAGTATGTAATGCAAAAAAAAAAAAATACTGTTACTGGCAAGATGACCAGACCTCAGTTATTATCTTCTTGAAGGAAAGATTCCAATTAAGATACCAAGTGCAGCGAAGTAAGCAAGAATGTATTGGCTGCAGCAAAAGCACATTCCAGACCGTGGACCGTGGAAGGGCAGGAGGAACCACAAGGCCTAGGCAGGCTGCTCTGCTCACTGGGAAGTCGGAGAAAAGGGAGTGCTGGAGACAGCTTCAGGGCTTAGCCCAGGACAAGCTACCGCTGCCCAGAGCTCCCGGGCTGCAAGTCTCATGTGGTCCCTTAGAGAGAAGAGGGGGAAGGGAATGGGGCTGGTGTGCTCCCCTGGGGGAGAGCTCAAACTGGGACCTTGGTCCTGAGCTATTTGTCTCTCTTGCAGGTAGGGACGGTCTCAAGGGAGGGTCTCAGTAGAATATTGATCAGCTTTCCAGGTGTGCTCTTTCTGGATCGTGGTGTCCACTGATTGGTCGGTGCCAGGGCCGGGAGCTGTCCCGAGGAAGCCAGGGTAGCACTTGTCTGGCTTTGCTGCTTCTCTGGGCCTGGAGCTGAAATACAACTGAGGCCTCGATGTCATCTCAACGGAGGAAAAGGTCAGGGGTCCAAACCGCATGACCGGCGATGTGCTAGGGAGGGAAGCTTACCCTGGGGCGAGGTTCTTCTTTTCCCAGTTTTGCCCCCTGCGAGGCATCCGGGGCCTTCTGCCAGGTGAGTTTCTGTACCAGGCCCGTGTCCTTGCTCTGCTCCTGTCCGTCTAACAGGGTGGTTTCTATGGCTCCACCAAGCTGCCTTAGATGTTAGCTTCTTACAGAACCATATCTCCAGCGTCAAACACGGGAAATTAGACTCTCACAGATCCGGGCACAGACCGTGCTCACATCTCCCCAGCTGTCCACCAGTGTCCTTTGCTTTGATTCCGGAGCCCAGGCCTGGAGCTGGCACCATGTCCCCTGTCTTAGTCTCCTCACTCTGGCTCGCGCCCCGCCCACCAGTCCACGCCTCCTGGTCCAGGGCTGTCCACCGCTGAGACCCCTAATTACCATCACTGTTCCTGTTCTTGACAGTCGATGCTCGCCTGGATTCACCAGGGTGTTTGTGAACTAGACGCGCTCTGGACCTCAGGTGCTGCCGAGGGAGGGCAGGGGCCACTCCCGCAGCCCGCCCACTCGAGGGCCCGCGGGCACAGGCCTGCACAGCAGTGGCCTCCAGAAAACTGGTTGATGGGAAACAATGTGGTGTTTCCTCAAGAAATTAAAAATGAAACTGCCATTTGACCAGTAACCCCACTTCTTGGAATACACCCTGAGAAGCCTGAAACACTAGTCAGGAAAACTAAATGTACTCCTGTGTTCATAGCAGCACTGTTTACAAAACTATGATCTGGAAACAGCCCAAGTGCCCATCAGTAGATGAGTGGATAAAAAAGCTGTGGTACATAGACACAATGGAATACCATGCAGCCGTAGGAAAGAGAGATCTTTTTTAAAAAATATTAACTCCTGGCAATTGTATTCTTTATTTTCTTTATTTTTTCTTTATTGATTTTAGAGAGACGGGAAGGGAGAGAGAGAGATAGAAACATCGATGAGAGAGAACATCGATTAGTCACCCCCTGCATGCTCCCCACTGGGGATTGGGCCCACAACCTGGGCATGTACCCTGATCGGGAATCGAACTGGCGGCGACTTCTTGGTGCAGGGTCGACACTCAACCACTGAGCCACAGCAGCCAGGCAAGAGAGATCTCAACCTTTGAGACAACATGGAGGGCCCTGGAGAGTACTATGCTGAGTGAAAGAAACCAGTCAGAGAAAGACAAGTACCACATGATCTCACTTATTTATGGAACATAATGAACAAAATAAGCTGTTGACCAAAATCAATCCAGAGACATGGAAGTAGGGAACAGACTGACAAACCTCAGAGGGATGGGGGTGGGAGGGATAAACCAAAGAACTTACACGCATATGTGCACAACCAAACGACAAGGGGAAGCAGGTGGGGTGGGGTGTGGGAGTTTTTGAAATGTCTTTGTAAGTATGAGTGATTTCTTTTTTTTTTTTTTTTGTCGTACGTGCCCCTAGCGGAAACCAAACCCGAGATTCACTGGTCCACAGGCTAACACTCAACCACTGAGCCAAACTGGCCAGGGCTGATTTCATTTTATAAGAAAATATTTTTTCTACATTGATTTCAGAGAGAGAGGACGAGAGAGGGAGAGAGAGATCAATGAAAGAGAACATCATTGGCCGCCTCCTGCATGCCCCCCACTGGGGGGTTGGATCCACAACCTGGGCATGTGCCCTGACCGGGAATCAAACCGGAGACCTCTTGGTGCAGGGTTGACGCTCAACCGCAGAGCCACACCAGCCGGGCAGTATTAAGCTGATTTCAAAATCAGAAGTTAAAGGTTTGAAATGGGTGGGCAGGGCCCAGGGTTCTTCAAGCCATTTTGCCCACAAGGCACCCCACCACATCCTCACCCTGAGCCCCCAATGCACAAGGTTGGGTGTGGGGTGTCAGGGTCCCCTACATGGGGGCTGCATTGGAGCTGGGGAGACACAGGAAGGAGGGTGCTGGGGTTTCCAGATATCCAGGCTCCAGAGGTCCCACCCCATGGGGCATGTGCCCCCTCCCCAGGCCCTGCACTTCCTCGAAGCCTGGGGAGGGGTGGCCCCCCTTGTGCAGGGTTGGGGCTGAGTCTCCCTTTCGGCTCAGGTGGGGAAAGGACCCCGGGAGGGGTCCCTGGTCTGCTCTACTCTGCTCCCCCGGCTCCTGTGGAGAAAACCCAGCTGGTGCGGAGTCATGTCCCAGCCACCAATAGAGGCGCAAGGACAGCATCCTGGGCTTGGCATTTGTCCCCTTCCCATGTCTTGTTCCCCATTTGGTAAGGTCCCCACTCTGGTCTTGAGGCCCTCCGGACCCATACTCAGGGAGTCCTCAGGGCCAGGGGGCAGGAAAGGGTGGGGGCTTCTCTCCCTGGAAGATGCAGCTGGGGGACCTGGGGAGGAGGGCAGCCCTGGCCACCCCTATCCCGTGGTGAGGAGCAGGCTCCTGTGAGCCTGGGCCCCCTTGGGGGCAGGTGCTCAGAAGGGAAGAAAGTGAATGACCAGACCGAGGGGACCCTGCAGTTCCCCGAACCTCCTCCACCACCGGGCCCTGGCAGCTGCCCAGGAAAGTCCTGGTGGGGTGGGGGCCGGAGGGCAGGCCGCGCATTGGAGGAAGCGCTTCTCGCATGGCTGAGGTCTGAATGACTAAGAGCCAGTGGGTGCTAGAAAGGGTTTATTTTCTCTGGTGTGGGCACACTGGTAGCAGGACTGGCCACAGGGCAGTGGGTGCTGCTCTCCTGGAGACCCGTCCAGCCAGGGCTCCCTGGTCTCTGCCTCTGGGTCAGTGGTTAATTGATGGTGGCAGCAAAATGTGACAGGCTTGTTGGCACAGCAGGGCGCTGGCCAGAGTGGCCGAGGGTCACCTCAGGGTGGGGCTGGCCTCCTTCCCTGGGCCCCTGGTGTATGAGGAGCCCTCGTGAGTAGGCCCAGGTCTGAGGGTGTGCAGGTGTGCAGTGGACTGGCGAGCTCGCGGGGGCCTCTGCTCTGCTTTGTGGAACACAGCTGCCCTTCCCTGTGCCTGAAGCGGGGTTGTCCTCACTACAGGGTCCAGAGGACGGCTGGCCCCAGGCTGAGCAGGAGCCCCCCGGCGAAGACCCAGAAGCTGCGCCCCACCTGGGCCACCCCGTTACAGAGGTCACTTCCACAGCAAGAGAGGCCTTGTACTTCAGACGTGTACAGCAGCTGACCCTTCTCGTTCGTTAAGCCGGGGTGCAGGTGACTCAACTCCTCTGCGACAGAATTCTGCAACATGTTTGAGGCAAACTCGCAAGAAGGGGCGCAACTTGAAATATACGACTTCGTCTTCTGCCCTGTGGGCAAGAATGGTCGTGATTGGTGTGGGGGACCCCTCCCCTCTGACCCTCCTGGGGCCTCCATGGTCACCCTCTCCCCTCAGAGATCATTCCTGTGCTGGGAGGCCCTCCCCCCTTCCAGGGGGCCTGTGCAGGCTGTTCTGTACGGAGGGGGCACTGAAGCAGGGACAGGACGCAGCCCCTTGCCCCACCCACACTCTACAAGAGTCCCCCTGAAGCCACCCCCATGCCTGGGCGCTGGGAACTCACCTCCCGCCAGGGTAAAGACGACGTGGCTCTTGAAGCAGACGCCTATGCACGGGAGGACTCCGCACTGGTTATCATGACAGCTATAGCACTGCAGGCTCAGGGCTGGGGGGCCGGGGGGCCGGGGCGGGGGGCCGGCTCAGAAGACAGGAAAGCTGGCTTTCCACCCCCACAGCCCAGACCTGCCCCTCTGTAGGACCTCCGACTCCTCCCCACCCTCTGGGGTGCCGGGTCACAGACCCTTCCTGTCCACTAACAGCCTCCCAGGGGATCGCCCGCCACCTCCCGGCAGGCGCCCGGGTGCTCACCACGGTCGGAGCACAGCAGCGCCATCAGCAGGATGAGATGGAGGCCTCTCATGGCTCCTGGACACCGGCGCGCAGCTGGGGAGGGAGGCTGCGGGGTGTCCCAGGTTCAGGTGTGGAGCGCCCGCCCCCACCCTGGCCCTCCAGGGCTGACTCCCGCAACCTCCCCACCCGCCGAGTCCCCTGCTGCGGACTTACTGCTGGCGTCCACTTCCTTGGCAGCACAGCCTCTGGGGCCCCTCCCTGGTTGCCCACATATATGTGTCCCCAACAGCCTGGTGCCCCACCCCTAGGCGGGTCTTATTCTTACCCGGAGTTCTAGCTGTCAGGCCCACCCAGGACTGGAGTCCAGGCCAGGGGCGGGGTCACGGAGGGCCACCCGGAGGGCCGAAGTGCAGTTTCCTCTCCGCTGCGGTCGGGGGGGGGGTGGGGTGGGGGTGGGGTGGGGGATGGTGCACCTTCCCGGGCCCTCTTGGGCCCTGGCACCGCCTCCCTTTGCTTTCCTCACCCGAACCCCCGTCCCACAGTCTCACACCATCTGTCCTCCCTGCATCCCCCAAGAAAGACTACCAAAAACCCACAAAAGCAGGAAAAATGTAAATGTTCAAAACTTTTTTTGCCCCCCCCCCCCCCCAACTCAGCCCGTCAAAGGCACGTGCCTTAGTGGCTGTTTGGTCACTGGCCCTGGTCAGGGTTGTTTCTCCCTCCCACTCTGTCTGAAAATAGATGGAAAAATACCCTGGGGTGAGGATTTCAACAATTATATATATGTCTGTCTATCTATCTATCTATCTATCTATCTATCTATCTATCTATCTATCATCTCTGTATCTATATATATTTATATTTGTTGAAATATATATATTTGTTGAAATATATAGATATATACATATATATATACATATATATGTATATATCTATATATTTTTTTGGTACCTGCCCATAGCAAACAGAAACAGGACACTCTGGTCCGCCGGCTGACGCTCCAACCGCTGAGCCAAACCGCCCGCACATTTTTTTAAAACTGCTGCCCAGGAAATCACGTGCTTTCTCTGTTTATCCTGCGGCGCCTGTTTTCTATTTCTCAGCTCCGAAAACGATACTGCTGATGGGGAAACGATACTGCTCCCGGTGACACCTCACACCTTGGCTCCCCAGCGTCCGACAGCGTCCCCGGTTTGGTTCTCCTCCAAGTTGTTCAGGGGGAGTGGGGAAGGGTGGAGCTGGTCTCCCAGTGGTCGAAACAAACTTTGGATTTCCACCTGACTACTGCTTCCTGCTGATACCTCCGCATAACAAAAAGTGTCTCTGAGACAACAAAGGACAGAATGCTTTTATTGATGGCTCAATGGGAGATGATCCGGCATCATCACCACCTAATTTGGGAACAAATTTGGTGGGACCCCAGATGCTTCTGGCTAGTGTATACTGCCAGATCATTGGATTCTGCTGCCAGAGGCTCTAGGAAGGGACCTAATTTTTGAGACTCATCAGGGCACACACCTTGGGGGAACTAAATTAACTGAACTCCTTTGGAGAGGCTACCACATTCCCAAGCTCAACCACCATGCCAGGCAGATCCAGCCCGCTGCCCGGCTTACCCACAGGCGAATCCTGCTCAGAAGGACCCTCTGCCCTCAGGAACGCGGGCTCACGGATACAGCCCTGGGAACAATGGGAAATTGATTGTACTGAAGTAGCCCCAGGAAAATTCGGATATAAATATCTACTTTTTTTTTTTTTGTAAATTTTATTTTATTTGTAATTAATTAATTTATTTTTGTTACAGATGTTTCTCCCTTTTCTCCCACTGATTCCTCTCTCCCCACCCTGTCCCCACCTTTGTTGTCCATGTCCATTGGTCATGCATACATGCATATAAGTTCTGTGGTTTATCTCTCTCCCCACCCCTTCTTCAGGGGATTGTCAGTCTGTACCCCACTTCCACGTCTCTGGGACTACCCTGTTCCTCAGACTGTTATGTTCATTATATTCCACAAATAAATGAGATCATGTGATATTTGTCTTTCTCTGCTTGGCTTGTTTGGCTTATAATAAAACTTTCCAGGTCCCTCCATGTCATCTCAAAGAATAAGAGAGCTTTCTTTCTTATAGCTGCATAGTATTCCATTGTGTATATGTACCACTGCTTTTTTATCCATTTGTCTACTGATGGACACTTGGGCTGTTTCCAGATCTTAGCTATTGTAAATAGTGCTGCTATGAACATGGGGGCACATATATTCTTTCTGACTGGTGTTTCAGGCTTCTTAGGGTATAGTCCTAGAAGTGGGATCACTGGGTCAAATGGAAGTTCAATTTTTAATTTTTTGAGGTAACACCATAGTGTTTTCCATAGTGGCTGCACCAGTGCACTAGAGTCCCCTTTTCTCCACACCCTTGCCAACACTTGCGGTTTAATGATTTGTTGATGGCGGCCATTCTGACAGGTGTGAGGTGATACCTCATTGTTGTTTTAATTTGCATCTCTCTGATGATTAGTGATGTTGAGCATTTCTTCATATGTCTCTTAGCCATCTGTATGTCCTATTTGGAGAGGTGTCTATTTAGTTCCTCTGCCCATTTTTTAATTGGGTTCTTTGTCTTCCTTTTGTTGAGTTGTATGAGCACTCTCTATATATTGGAAATTAACTCCTTATCTGATATATCATTGGCAATTATGCTCTCCCATACAGTGGGTTGCCTTTCCATTTTAATGCTTGTCTCTTTTGCTGTGCAGAAGCTTTTGAGAGACAAGCATTAAGTTTGATGTAGTCCCAATTGTTCATTTTCTCTTTTGTTTCTGTTGCCTTAGATGATGTATCAGTGAAAATTCTGCTGCGTATGATGTCTGAAATTTTGTTGGGTCCATTTCCGGGTTCTCTGTTCTGTTCCACTGGTTTATATGCCTGTTCCTGTGCCTGTACCAGGCTGTTTTGATTACAGTGGCTTTGTAGTATAACCTGAAATCTGGTGATGTGATCCCTCCAACTTTATTCTTCTTTTTCAAGATTGCTGTGGCTATTCAAGGTTTTTTTGGGTTCCATATGAACTTTTGAAGTATTTGTTCTAGTTCTGTGAAGTATGTCATTAGTATTTTGACGGGGATTGCATTGATCTATAGATTGCTTTGGGTAGTATGGACATTTTAATGATGTTGACTCTTCCAATCCATGAACAAGGTGTGTGCTTCCACTTTTTTATATCTTCTTCTATTTCTTTTTTCAATGACAATGTAGTTTTCTGTGAATAGGTCCTTTATTTCTTTGGTTAAGTTTATTCCCAGGTATCTTAATTTTTTTTGCTGTGATGGTAAATGGGATTGTTTTTTCAGTTTCTCTTTCTGTGAGTTTATGATTGGTGTATAAGAATGCCATCGATTTCTTGACGTTAATTTTGTATCCTGCTACATTGCCAAATTCATTTATTAAGTCTAGTAAGTTTTTGATGGAGTCTTTGGGGTTTTCTATGATAGTATCATGTCATCTGCGAATAATGACAGTTTCACTTCCTCCTTTCCCATTTGGATCCCTTTTATTTTTTCTTGCTGTCTGATTGCTGTGGCTAAGTTCCAGTACTATGTTAAATAAGAGTGGAGAAAGTGGGCATCCTTGCCTTGTTCTTGTTCTTAAGGGAAATGCTTTTAATTTTTGCCCATTGAGTATGATGTTGGTTTCATATATGGCCTTTATTATGTTGAGATATGATCCCTCTGTTCCCAGATTGATGAGGCTTTTTATCAGAAATGGGTGCTGGATTTTGTCGAATTCTTTTTTAGCATCTATTGATATGATCATATGATTTTTATCTTTCATTTTGTTTATGTGGTGTATCACATTTATTGATTTGCGAATATTGTACCAGCCTTGCATCCCTGGGATGAATCCTACTTAGTCATGGTGAATAATTTTTCTGATGTATTGCTGGATTTGATTTGCTAGTATTTTGTTCAGGATTTTGGCATCTATGTTCATCAGGGATATTGGTCTATAGTTTTCTTTCTTTGTAGTGTCTTTTTCTGGTTTTGGAATTAGAATTATGCTGGCCTCATAAAACGAGTTTGGAAGTCTTCATTCTTCTTGAATTTTTTGAAATAGTTTGAGGAGAATGGGTATTAGTTTTTCTTTGAATGTTCGGTAAAACTCCCCCGTGAAGCTGTCTGGGCCTGGGCTTTTGTTTGCTGGGAGAGTCTTGATTACATCTTCAATTTCTTCAGTTGTTATTGGTTTGTTCAAGTTTCTATCTCTTTCCGGTTCAGTTTTGGGAGACTATGTTTTTCTAGAAATTGGTCCATTTTGCTTAGATTGTCAAATTTGTTGCCGTATAATTGTTCATAATACAGTGATACCTCGGTTCTCGAACGCCTCGGTTTTCGACCAAATCGGTATTCGACCAGGAGATTCGAGAAATTTTGTCTCGGAATCCGAACAAATATTTGGAACTCGAACTTCCGAGATGAGCCGAGTTGAGCCGAATGGTGTTCATTCGGCCCAGTGCGCCTTGCTTGCGTCATCAGTGTGAGTGCAGAGAGAGAGTCACGCTTTGTGGAGTCACGCTTTCCTATTGGGTTTCATTGCTTCGGTTCTCGAACAATTCGGTTCTCGACCGTCCTCCTGGAACGAATTATGTTCGAGAACCGAGGTATCACTGTATTTGTTAACAATCTGTTGTATTTCTGTGCTGTCAGTTATTATTTCTCCTCTTTCATTTTTGATTTTGTATATTTGGGTTCTCTCTCTTTGTTTCTTGGTGAGTCTAGCTAAGGATCCATCAATCTTGTTTATCTTTTCAAAGAACCAGCCCTTTGAATTGTTCTTTTGGTCTCCATGTCATTTATTTCTGCTCTGATCTTTACTACTTCTTTCCTTCTACTTGCTCTGGGGTTTTAATTTTGTTTGCTTTCTAGTTCTTTAAGTTGTGAGGTTAAATATTCTGTTAGAACTTTTTCTTGTTTCTTGAGGTTGGCCTTTAGTGCTATGAACTTCCCTCTCAGAACTGTTTTCGCTGCATCCCATAGATTTTGTGTTGCTGTGTGTTCATTTTCACTGGTTTCCAGGAAGTTTTTAATTTCTTCCTTGATCTTCACGGTAACCCATTCATTGTTCAATAACATGCTATTTAGCCTCCATGTTTTCAAATGTCTTTGCATGTTCTTGTTGCAGTTGATTTCTATTTGCATGCCATTGTGATCTGAGAAGATGTTTGATCGATTTCAATCT